TACAGAAATCCCGCCCCCCCCCCCCCCCCCCGGGGCGTTCGTACGCACCCACACACACGGGCACAGAAGTGTATTGTTGCAAAAGCTGGAGGACAAAGCAGGTGGGGATTCATCTTTCATCCAGATGCAAAAGTCCAAAGGGGTCCCAAATGTTAAGCTTCAGTCAGAACCTGACGAATCCAACTGGAACCCTTCGAGGCCCGAATGTTGCAGCATTTGGGACTGCGCTTGTTGCTCTCAGGCCTGACGTCTCTCATGCAGACATCTCAGTTCGGAGCGCTAACACTATAAATTATCCACGAAGGTCCGAGAGGCTGCGGGGGGGAACGTCGAGTTGTCGGACAGAAAGCGCCAAACTCAGAAATCTGACGATATTGTCATGTCGCCGGCGGCACAGAATACAACCAACAAAAGTTTGGCCGTACCGCTGAAGCGTCAGGGATTTAACACTTGGGCAGGACAGTCAGGACGATGGAGGTTTGGATCTAAGCAACGGGCCAGCACCTAATCAGGTTGCTGGGATGTTATTCTCGAGGACGATTGCAATTTCTTCATCATATTAACTCGCCGAACCGTCGCACGGACTTTCAGGGGTTCTGGTTAGTTTTAGGATCCCGCTAAATGAACAAACACAAAGAGTCGGGACATGTGGTCTTTGGTCTAAATCCGAACTTTATTCCTAACACTTACAGGTTTGCTTGGACCCACCCACCCACTCCCCAGAAACAACAGGCACACACATGCGATGCGTTCATGGACGCCGCAGAAATTCGTACAGGAGAACGTCCTAGTTGAAAAACAGTAGCATCAGGAATGAGAAAGATCTCGAAGCTTCCAGAGCGGCCTTTGTTTACATCATCATCATCTTCATCATCAATCATCATAAATAGAAACGCAGGAATCTACATTACAAGAAACGATAGATCGAGTGGAGTTCTTTGGTTTTTACTATTGAGGTTTTTTTTTTTGCTGTCCTCTCATTTAACTTTGGATTGAAGCTGCATGCTCGGAAAAAAAAAAAATGTAAAAAACGAGGACTAGCCAGTGAAACTTAAGACGAACGTGTTTGGACACGAAGGCGTCCTGAAGGTTTTACTACTGAAAACTTTGGTAAGTTGACTTCCGCTCCTGAGTTCACGCCGGTCGTTAAAGCTAAAACATTTTATTTGGTTTTCACGAGCGAAAAATGCGAGGTAAATGTCATCTGAGGACGTCGCAAAGCTTTTCTACCCACGAAATGGATGGAGGAAAAAAAAAATCCAAAAAACAAGTCAAAACGTTCATTGAGCCGCTTGCTTCATGACACAATTTCATTAAAAAAAACTTTTTGGAGGGGCGGTTTCGAACTAAATGCTTATCAAATCAAAAGACGGTGTACAATCACAACCACTTTTTTGACTAAGACGTGTTGAGTTTTTATACAAAATCTTCCAAAATTTCAGAGTGACTAAAGTTTTTAGTGACAGAACTCGGTCATAGAGCTTGGAACATTCCCAGAGTAATTTTGTCGAATTTTTGTCAAAAAACTCCATCTGAATTTAGTTCAATTGACTTTTTAAATGTAACCTGCATGTACTTTTGTGATCAAAATTAGCCATACCACCAAAGAATATGATTTTTTTTCTTGACAATTTCTCATACATCAACTGCTAATTTGTGAGAAAATCCAACAAAATTGCAGAGTGAGAAAATTTCGGAATTCAAACTTCTTCACGGGAGAATTTAGGAGGACTTTGTACAAAAACTCAACAATAATTAGAAAGGGGGGAAAAAAGACATTCTTAAGCAATATGCATTTTCATACCAAACCAAAATGTATTTGGCTTTGCGTCTATGCCATGTTTGTGGGTTTTGCCTTTGGGTTTATTATTATTATTATTTTTTTTTTTTGGTAAACTAAATTCTCTTTAAGATCCTGTCTGGATGCAAAAAAAGCTTCCCAACAAGCCCTGGGAAACCATCACGTTTTAAATAGAATGCAATAAATACATAAAAATAAATACAAAAAAAAATCTTTCACCAAATAAGATAAAGGTACAAAGGGACATTTTATACAGTAAATACAAATATGTTTCTGTGTAAAGCTTTTTGGTATTTTTCCTCCGACGAGAACCAGCAAGAACATTCTTCCTTGACAATCATCATCATCATCATCGCTGTGATGATTCCTTTTTTTTTCCTAATCATTTTTTATTAGGGCCAGACCAAGTCATCGGCCGATATTACTCCTTTAAATATTCGCAAAAAATGTAGTTCAAAAATTTGATTCAAATACGGATCTCCCACCCAAAAAATCAGCCAATTTTTGACAACTGTTTTCTTCTGTTGTAAAGTGAAATGCCGAAAAGACAAAATTGTAAAACTGTCAAATGCTTTTTTTTTTGTCGACAGCATTATGGCACCAAAAAAAGTTACTATATTCATGACATACTTTTTTTTTTTTCATCATTGGCCATCGGAATATTCTTCCGCGATATATCGGAAACGGACTAAAACAGAATCCTTATCGGTCAGGCCCTAATAAAAAGTACTTCATCACAGCATCCCTTCCTTCTCTTTGCGATGATGACAAAACAGTGTTGCCCGTGATGATAATGAGCTCCTCCATGTTCTTATGACTCAGCAAAAACTTATCGTCGTTAGTTGGAGGGAACATGAGCCACGCAAGCATCCGCACAAACACGCAAACTCAGCCAGTCTTGCAGTTTGTGCGTGGGTTTGTTTGGTTTGTTCTATTTGGTTCACATCTACGTCGCAAAACGTTTGGGTTTGTTTCGCTTTTGGCTTTTGTTTTCTTTTTCTTCCCATTCTACGTTTTTTTTTTTTTTTGTTGTTTTAATTGTTTGTTGTGGGAAGCTACATCTTCACACTTTTCACCACTCATCAATAAATCACAAGTAAAAGATATGAAAATAGGTAGGACGTCACCAACCCTCCCCTCACGTACCCCCTTATTTTGCCCTCCACTCCCGCATATCAAGTCATGAGACAAATCCCATACATCATCGACAAAAAAAAAACACCATGAAGAAGCCAAAGAAAAAAACCGTGGGGAGGTGGGGGTGGGGGGGGGGGGATAGACTTTTCTCAGAGTCACACGAGTCCAGGTAACATCAAAATGGGAAGGGGGGTGGATTGTGTTTGAGTGCGTCCACATGAGATCAACACACGCACGCACACACACACACACGCACACACACGCACACACACACACACACACACAACACACACACACACACACACACACACACACACACACACACACACACACACACACACACACAAATCTCCCCCCCTGACTCCCACCTGCTCAACTCTTTGTTCCTATTTGGTTTCGGGGTGTCAGTCACTCAACTTTTTGCTTTGTGTATTAGTTTTTTGTTGTTGTTTTTTTTTGGTTGTTGTTTTCCTGCTCCCAGCGCACCTATTCACCTTCCCCTTTAACCCCCTGCAGCTTCTCCGCCTCCTCATCTACTTTTTGGTCCTTTGATGCGAAGATCTTTGGGGACAAAGTGAAGGCGGGACGGATGGGAGGAAGGGATGGAGGGCAGGGCAGTGCTTCATCTCCTCCTCCTCCTCTTCTTCAATTTGGGCGTGTGTGCGTGTGTATGTGTGTTTGTGGTCTCATTCGAGACGGCGGCTGCCACAGGCCAGACTTTGGTATCCGAGAGTGACGGTCTGCTGGGTGATGATGAAGGTGATGATGGAGATGATGAAGTATGGAGGCCATTGTGGAGAAATAAATCAATAAATAAACAATAAATAAATAAATAAGGACAAGGCCCGGCGTTTGCCTGTAGGATGCGCCCTTGCACGAAAACTTTGGTTTGAGCAAACTTCCTGCTGCTAGTGATGGAGGCGATGAATTTCCTGATCGAGCGTTTGTTGTTTTTTTTTTTTTTTGGTTTGGCACAGAAAATATAAGGCAAGTGGAAAACAACAACAAGTGGATGTTTGATAAACGCATCCCATGTGGACAGGTGGGGTTTAGTTAGTAAAGAAACGTGGCTTTGGAGTTTTGTGGTTCGGAGTGTTTGGCCTGTTTTATTGCCGCTTCACTTCTCTTTGATCAACTTGACTTGTAAACCGGGATTCAAAGGCTGCAATTCTTGAATTTGAAATCAAATGTCAAGACTTGTGTCTTCTGAAAATAAGGCAAGCTAACGACAGCAGTTGGGAGTTCAATAAATGCATCGTATTGGGGCAAGTGGGCAAGATTAAAGAGAAAGTTGTTGAGGGCTTTTTTGTTGTTGTTGTTGTTGCTTTGTTTGTAAACTGGATGATTAAAGAGAAAGTTGTTGGGGGCTTTTTTGTTGTTGTTGTTGTTGTTGCTTTGTTTGTAAACTGGAATGCTTCAGTGAAAAATCCAAGGCAGAAATTTCAAAATCTGTTCCATCCTGGACCATGTCCTGTCACATCCAAAAAGTTTTGATGTAGTCTGTTGATTCCTTGTTGTGTCCTTGTCGACGGCAGTTTGCATCCTGCCTGCGTATCCATCGGTTAAGGGCTAGCTTTAAACGTTATCTATCCAGAATCATTTGGAATAATTCCGACATTTAGCGTCCCATCACGCACGCAGTTTGGCGGCAATCGTGGAAGTAGTGTTTGCATTTAGAGCAAACCAGGTGCTAAACCCCACCCGTCTGCTGCTCCTGGTGGTGAAAACAAGCGGTGTGTTGGCGAGGTAGACCGTTCGGCATGTAAACGTCACGCTACGTGTCACGACGAGCGAGGAGTCAGTGAAATCAATTCAAATCGTTCTGAGTAATGAAATGGGAATGCGTGAAAATGGAGTCGGGATGTATCGGAAACGCGATCCAGGGTGGATCGGAATGCAAACGTCTAAAGCTTTTCTCTCCGTTTCTTTTTTTTTTTTTTGTTCGTCTTTTTCTATTTGGTTTTGAGTTTTTGGTATTTGTAGATTTTGGTTTTTGGTGTTGTTGCCTCCCATCATGCACTTGGTCTATTTCCTGACACTCCTCAGCTCCATGTGGTTTTTGTTTTTTTGGTTTCGAGTCGCCTCTTCCTATTCTCTGCCACCTCGCCATCCCGCTTCGTCCTCTGTGTACATTTTTGGGGTTTGGGAGGACGTTGGCGAGGTCGAGAGATGGCTTTGGTTGAAAAGCGACGCTTTTAAAGCTTGCTGTCCCCGCCCCCTTTTTCTCTGATAGGTTGTCACTCAGCCATAGCCCCGCCCAGGGGTGGAGGCGAGGCTTCGCTGAAGGAACAGAACGAGGCGGGGCTGGAACAGGGTGAGTCATCGGGGCACGAAGGCGGGCCCAGGAGGTGGGCCGCGCTGGCGGGCGGCGACTGGGCGAAGGCGAGCCGGGGGGCTCCCCCCGCTGGGCCGCTCACCAGCCCCATGGTGGGTGGGGATGCCGTTGCCATGGAGATAGAGCCCGTTGCCATGGGCAGGAGGGTCGGGCGGTTGAGGAAGAGCGAGGGGCGCATTGAGGCGGGTAACCCACCAGGGCCGCCGCTCAGAATCATGTGACCCGCACCTGCCTCCATGATTGACAGCTGACCACCGCTTGCTGCCAGTGCTGTTGGCAGGGTAGAGAGGACAATGTAGGAAGTGAAGAAGGAGGGGAGGGAAGAAAGAAGGAAGGACAGGGGGAAGGAAGGAAGTGAGCGAGGAAAATAAGGAAGGAAGGAAGCAAAAGAGTGAGGATGGTAGGAAGGAAGGAACGAGGAACAGAAGGAATAAGGGAAGAACGAGGGAAGGAAGAAGTGAAGAGGAAGAGAAGAAATGAAGGACAGGAGGAAGGAAGAAAGAAAGAAGGGATGGAGGGAAGGAAAGAGATAAGAAAGGAGGAAGGAGGGAAGCAAGAGGGAAGCAAGGTGGAAAAAAAGATGGAACAAAGGAGGGGAAGGAGGAAGGAATGTCGAAAAGAGGGGAAGGATGGCCCGAAAGAAAGAAAGGTGTGGAGAGAGGGAAAGAGGTAAAAAGACAACATGTTAAAGAGAGTTTAGGAGACACCTGAATGGTGATCAGAAGAAAAAAGGAAACAATTTTTCCAAGTCTGAATAATCACTAATGACGCCATTGCATATCCTCTATTCAGGGTTTGAGTTTCTAGTTAGCACTCGCGACATGACAAAAATGCGAGCCCTGCTCCGATCCTCCACATCATCCCTTCATTTGGTTTTCCCTGCAGGAGGTCGCTTCAAAGAGAGCTCCGCCGCAAAACCTCCTTTGTGAGGCCTCATTGATTTGGAGGGAGCGCAGAGGACTTCTTTAGCCAGCGGTGTGCGGATTTGAGACTTTGATTCAGCCTAACCACAACACAACGTTCAATGTGCACACAATGGGTGAAGATACGATACACACGCGCGCACACATGCACGTTTTTGTTGACGACTTAATTTCTATTTCTATTATAGTAATAGGAAGCAAAAGAAGCGGGATTTGTATATAGTGGAACATACAGTTCACTAGAAAGTCAATTACAATTCTTCGCCACCAGGGGGTAAAATACTACTCAAAATAAATACATAAGGAAGACTGTCACAATTAAGGGACTCAGTAAGCTGCAGTAAAAGGATTAAAGTTGACATGCACCGTCGGTTACCTCACCGCAGAATTGCAACACACTGGATCAACGTCACCTTTGAGAGACGTCCGCTTTTGCATTTGAACTCTCCAAATCTTTTTGGGTGGTTGTTAATTACTCCATGATTTTTGTTTTTCACGGCAGGGGCTGGTCCCTCACCTTTACGATCCACTGTCTACGGTAACACCCACCTTGCATGGTAGCCAGCGGATTGCTGCCCATGAGCGCCTGGTTCATCCCTGTGCTTACTCCCATCATCGTGTTCCTAAGAGACGGGTGCGAAAACGTTTTGTCTTGTTTTTGTTCACTCCGTGTGCAATTAACGCAAGCCTGCAACAACAAGCCTGGCAAATGTTTGTGAGACTCACCCAGTATTGAGGCCGTGAGCCCCTAGACCCGGAGGGGCGGGGCTGGCTGTGCTATGAGGGGGTGGAGTCAAAGAAGAGGAAGTGGACCCTGCTGCCACGGAGGTCACGGGCGATGGTGACAAAGTGGCAGCTAGAAGGGAGACGGCAATAAGATTAAAAATGAGGAGATACTATGCAGGGAGCTGACACACAGAATCAACACAGATGTGGTTGTGTTGTTGGACTCCAGGAAACACAAATGGACCTGTTGTATTCCAGGAAACAATCTGTATTGTAGGAGATTGACATCTACTGCACTTGTGTTGTTGGTCTCCAGGAAATAGACAGGGACAATGTTGTGTTGTTTGATGTGACATATTGCGTTGCTAGGCTCCAGTACGTACTGGAGACATTGTCATCTACTCTTGTGTTGTTGGGCGGCAGGAAATGGACATGTTGTTGTTGTTGTGTAGCGTCTAATAATGCGTAATGTTTTGGCAGACTGTCATCTGTCTGTTGTCTGATTACGGAGAAGAGACGACATGTCACAGAGTGGAAATCACCAAAGTGTCTTATGTTGTCTGATTACAGAGAAGAGACGAAATGTCACAGAGTGGAAATCACCAAAGTGTCTTATGTGTCACTCACAACACAATGTTGACTCACGCTCAGAGAAGTCATTGGACTCCTCAGCGTTTCATCAGGAAAAACACAAAGACATGATCGCATTTTTCATTTCGCTGACAGGCAGGCTTGTGTGGGCCCGGCTTTAATAAGAACGCACAAACGTCAATTACTGCTCACCAGAAGTGGGTACCTGAGTCACACGAATGAACCCCGGCTAGACTCAAGTTGCCAATTTTAGGCCTAGGGACTTGCTCACCCAAAACCAATGACAGCCTTTCTTTGACTTCCGATTCGATATTCATGAAATATCAATTTCTACATACACACACAAATACCGTATTGGCCCGAATATATGAAGGCCCTGATTATAAGACGACCCCCTCTTTTTCAAGACTCAAGTTTGAAAAAAGACTTTTTGAACACCAAATTAATTTTTATACAGAAAATAATTACAGCACATCTGAAACAAATGATTATAACAATATATTTGAGAGAAAAACATGTTATTTTGCCTCATTCAAATATAAAGTGCAATCACATTCAAAAATGAATGGCTTCTGGTTTTTGAAATGTAAATTACATCATAACTTCTCCTCAGCTGCCAGTTAACCTGGCCGATCTTCGACCCACTTTTCTCCAGATTGTCGCTACGTTTCTCCATTTTCTGTTATCTCTTCTATTATTTTCTTCTCTTTTCCTTCTTACCGCTATTTTTTCATTTTTCGTCTTCGTGCTACCGCTATTTTTATTTTTATTCTTCCTGGCAGGGGTTCACTTTGGCCATGGGATTCAAGTTCAGCATTCGCTTCAATGATATCTGGCGCCATCTAGCGTCCTGAATGGGTATAACGTCTAGACCCCGAATATAAGACGCCCCCCACTTTTTCAGTCTTATTTCAATGCAAAAAACACCGTCTTATATTCGGGCCAATACGGTACAACATACACACATAAAGTCATGACTTGACTTGTGACTTGCTCCCACACATCTGCTGCTCACCTGTTGTGCTGAGGCTGCTGCTGCCCTGAGACACGCCTGGACTGGATATCTGCTAAAATAAAGAATGGCGTGGGTGAAAACTAAAATCGGGGAATGATGGCGACGAAAAGGTGGGCCGCACAAGGGTACCATGTGCGGGCTACAGCAGGGGGCTTTGTGCGTGACAGCGGGCGAGGTCTGGCCGGGCAGCGGCGGCGTGCTGCTGCTGGCTGGGTTGATACGCTTCTCCTTCTGCCGCCGGTTGCAGAACCACACGCGGATCACCTCCTTCTCCATGTTGAGCTGCTCGGCCATCAGCAGGATCTCCTCCGAGGTAGGCTTCTGGTTCTGAGACCGCATGGCGAACGGCTTGAGTCCACAAACGAAGTGTGCGGTGCGACAGGACAGGACAAACACGCGTGCTCTTACCGCGCTGAAGTTGCGCTCGAGTGCGACGCGCACATTGGTCTCGATGCTGGTGCGCTTCTTCCGGCGTCGGCCTGCTAGACCCTCCAAGCCCAGCAGTGGGGAGGAGATGGAAGAGGGGCTGGGCAGCATGCTGTCCACTGCCATGGTCTCTGCAGAGCAAATGAGAAAATCCACAAAGGGGCTGATGGAAATTTTTATGGCAGGCCATCAAATTTTGCCGCCAAATAATAACGAAATCTAATTCCTCATCTCAAGTCTGTCGATAAGGTTTAACACCTAAAAAATGTCAATTCAAATACACTTTCGATGTCTTTTCAGACATGGCTTCTTGAAAATTTTTTTGTGGGTCTACTCATGAACACCATGCTGACCAAACGCCACCTTTGTCTGTTGAACTGGCTTCTGAACAGAATTTTCCAAAGGTTTCAGGGGGTTAATTTTAGTTAGCGCTGTGCATGAGACCTGAACCGAGGTGAAGTGAGCGAGTGTTCACCTGCATCCCCGAGCCACTTCTCAAGCAGAGGCTTGAGCTTGCACATGTTCTTGAAGCTCAGGTTGAGGGCCTCAAAACGCGAGATGGTGGTCTGGCTGAAGTCGTTGCCGTACAGTTTGCCCATGGCGACGCCCACGTCGCCCTGGGGGTAACACACACACACACACACACACACACACACACACACACACACACACACACACACACTCAGAACATCTGAGTCGCATAGACACGCGCAAAGATGCACACAAACATACTAATGGACACACACACACACACACACACACACGCACACGCACACACACACACGCACATGCACACACACAAACAGTGTTTTCACATCACACTCCCGAAGTGGGCTTAACGTAGTACCTGTGTGAATCCCAGCTTGATGCGGCGCTGCTTGAACGTGCGAGCAAATTGTTCCAGCTCCTCCAGGTCGCTGGGCTCCTCTCCCAGGTGGCCAACGTGGCCCCCGGCCGTCAAGGCTGAGTTCAGGGAGGCCGCCATGGCGCCACCCGAGCCCGATGAGGACCCCACTGCAGTTAAGGCCGCCCCTGCGCTCATGCCGCTGACGCCCGTGGACGCGGTCGGGGCGGTGATGCGTCCACTCGCATCGCTGCTCTTCTCCCTCTGCCAGAAGTGACACAAGTGGGAGTAAGGGCCATGTACTAATATGCTCTTTGACCTCACTAGTAGGACAACCGTGTTCCGAGTGAGGCAAAGCTGCAGTAGTTCACAAATGCATGAATAAACAAAGACATCGAACACATGCGGAAATGGCTTTCCATATGCATTTGCTTAGTTCTGTGAATTATTCTGAATGCAAAGCGGGTAGCAGAATGTGAAGCGTCAAGCTTAAAGTGGCGTATGGATGCGCCGACACACATTGGCCAAGTCGTACTGCATATTTACAATCTGCTGCTTCGAGTGCCACTGCGTGCACGCAGGGGAGAAAGTAAATGAGCGTGGTGCCGGTCAACGTTATGCATGACGCGAGCTCAATTTGGCCATCCTGGTGGCCGGCCGGGTTCATGATGCAACCTGATAGTGAATGTGGCTAAACGCGCCTGATACAACTCCTCCAACATGGACGTGTTTGCTGTCGTGCATTCCTGATGCAAAGCTGCAGATGCAAATGTGTCCTAACTCAGAGAAACTGTTAGGGCATTAAGATGCATACAAGATACACCAGTCGTCGAGCATAAGCAACACCAACTTTATATTAGCTTGCAGCAGACGTGCACATTTTCAGCATGACGTCTCTGATCCACTGGTAAAAGGACACTTTGATCCTCTCCTCTTTCATCTATAACTGCTTCAGACCACAAAGTGTATGCAGGAAAGTGGTGAAGATTGCACGACTGTCTGTGTCCTATGTGTTGTGTTATTTTTGTTATTTTGACTTCAAGATGGCGCCGCGTGAGTGGCTGCCTTTCCAGCAGCTCCTATATTTTGTTGTTCTACTTCTTCCATTCATAACTTTGCTGCTGTGAATTGGGAATTTCTCCATTGCGAGACTAATAAAGGTTTTCTTATCTTATCTTATCTTATACTTGTAATCTTATGAGTTTGTCGATGCAATTCTTCGATTTTAATCTTTTAGAGCAGGGGTGTCAAACTCATTTTTGTCGCGGGCCGCATTATAGTTACCGGTTCCCTTGGAGGGCCATTATGACTGTGAAACCATATAAGGAAGTCAAGAATAATGGTTTATTCAACTATAGTTGAATAATGAGGGTTTTGGTCACAAGAAAACGTACAATAGCTCTCTTATACATTATGTATGAGAATTTGAAATTTTGGGAAAAATTTTAGCAAGCATCACAGAAATCAGCATGTTTGATTTGCTTTCGCGGGCCACATCAAATGATGTGGAGGACCACATCTGGCCCCCGGGCCTTGAGTTTGACACCTGTGTTTTAGAGTGAATATAAAAAGATCAAATGCCAGGTTTTTCTTATTATCAAAAAGGGACATCACTTGTGAGCACCCACTGAAAAGTTAAAAAAAAAAAAAAAATCAGCTGCCCACACCAGTTTCAATGACACTAAACCGGGTGACCATGTCTATCATAATAGAACACACACCAGAAAAGTGAACAGTGAACAGAAAGTTGGCAATTTTGATTTCAAGTAGCTTTTGGGGTGAATTCCAGGGTTCCTACTTTGCCGAACCAGAGATTTTGCCCACACTGCCAAACAAGGACCAACAACAGCCCGCATGGCCCTTTAGCTGCTCACCTGCGATTGGAGGCCCAGACGGGGCGTCGTCGTCAACAGCCCCGCCGTGCTTTGCTGAGGTAGCTGGATAAGATTTGGTGTGGAGAGCAAAGCTGAGATGGGAAACAGCAACAAAAACATTCAATGAAGCCGCAAAACGCTTCCTTCATTCAGAAAGTGACAAGTAACCCATCATATCTTCAACAGCTCTTGTTCCAGCAGTTATTGCGCAGTTTACCTTGTTGCTGCTGTTGCTGAGTCTGGGAAGGTGGCTGCGACAGGAGGAACTGGGCCGGGGACTGAAGCGGGTGCCCCGGCATGAGAACCAGCTGCTGGAGTTGGAGCAGCTGCTGGATGTCCTGCAAGACCACAAAACCTTGACGACACTTGTACCAACTGAATTTCCCTGACAGGCCGGCAGGACCTTCTTTCATATTTGCGTTGGGACGCTGTGTTTTGCTGCTGGTACCTGCGCCGTGAGCTGGATTGGCTGAGAGAGGGCCAGCTGAGGCGGTGGAGGAGGAGCTTGGACAGTCATTTCTTGTTTGACGGCTTGCTGCTGCTGCTGCTGCTGCTGAGATGTTTGGCTCTGCTGTTGCTGCTGCTGCTGTTGTTGTTGTTGGTGGTGGTGGTGCTGCTGGGCGGCGGCGTGAGCGGCGTTGGTCTGCTGGACAGCAGCGGCCAGAAGCTGAGCTTGGGCCTGCTGCAGGAGCAGCTGTTGCTGGGCCGGCAGGAGTGCGGCCAGCTGCCACGATCAAACAAAACACAGAAAATGAAGCCAGGAAAAGCAAAAATCCGAGTTCCAAATTTAACTGACTCCCCTGCCCCTCATTTATCTTAAAAAGAAAAAATCCCCGCCCCCTTCACAAAAATCTACTTTTCCCCTTTGTTCACAGAAATATCACACGACTTGATTTGTCTTGACAAATAAACGGAAGTGAATCGATAAAAGTCAATGAATATCCCAGCTCGAGCTTGCTTTTGCTCCAACGGATATGGTTCCTCACCCCCGCCAGCTGACTGCCGGCCAGCATCAGCTGCGTGTGGTGGTGCTGCGCCTGCGCTTGTGCCTGCTGCTGCTGCTGCTGCTGAGAAGATGGCGGCACGGTGCTGCGGGTCATTTCACAACTCTCTTCCGCCTTCACCTGACAAGAAAAAAAAAAAACACATTTGTAGGGCATTTGTAGAGGAGTCAGAAAATGTTAAATATGCAAGTTAATTATGCGAATGAATTACATGATTAATATGCATTATTCATAGTTAATGGCACTATCATTCAATCATTATTTGATTAAATGAAAATGGCAAATATGTAAAAATGCTCATCTTACTTTTCATTTGTTCTGATTAATGACACTACAGTACAGGAATTATTTAATTAGATAAAGGAATGAAAATACTTTTTTTGTTTGTTTTTAGCTTTTAGGAAAAAAACTAATACATGCCTCAATGAATTCAAAAAAATTGAGCAGCCTATACTTTGCCCAGCTCTTACGTAGAAATAAGAGTAATACATATTCATTTATTTATCATACATATTCATATATGTATTTTATTATTATATTGGTTTACATTAATATACATATTTTGCAATATATATTTTACTAGCTTTTTTTAGCATTAAGGGACCAAGTTTTATATTAGCCATTAAAGACACGGCATCCCCGCTTCATACGTTCATACACACACCTTGCTGGTTGGTGTGGGCAAGAGGCTGAACGGGCTGCTTTCCATCGGCTGAAACTTGTGGAAGAAAAAAAAAAAGGTGAAAAATGTATTTTAAAAAAATACAAAGTAATCAATACAATAATATTAAATAATTACACAATTTCAGAAAAAACATAACCAGCACTATTGAGAAAAACAAAAAAAAAAACAACGGCATTGAATTTTGCATCTGGAGAAAGCAAGTTCATGGTCATATTTATCCACAAGAAAAAAAAAATCCTTACATTAAAAAAATGCTGACTAACCTGCTCGTCTGGACTGTTTCTGTCTGAGTCTGAAACATATATAGGATGTACAATGATAGGAGGTAAGAAACAAGGGAAAAAAAAAAAAAACAGCAAACGGGATCATTTCTGGGTACCTGAGCCGTCACCGGGATAGTCCGGCCCGGCTTTCTCCTCCTCTGCTTTGGACATCCTGATATCTGCCAGGAACACAAATAAAAAAGATGGAAAAGTGAAGAAAAAAAGGGGGGGGGACCCCCCCAACGGATTCCGTTGTTTAAAGCACATCCCTGCTGATGTGCACTGCTTACACTAATAACACGGCCATGAACGGAAAGGCAGCGCGGTCAATGTTGTCAAAAATTCGGCTGCTCTATTTAAACAAGGCAAAGAAAGGCAGCTTTATTTATATAAAGCATTTCACATATAAGGATAATTCAATGTGCTTCACAGAGTGAAAAGTACATTAATAAGCAACTACAAATAAGAGTTAAAGAAATTTCAAGGCTAAGCAAAGAAAAAAAACATTTTTAAAATGATTAAATCTTAATTTACTAAGAAAGGACTTATTTGCATATTTTATTCATTTTTTTATTTTGAAAGTCCTATCAGCCAGCCCGACAGGAAACAATTCGGAGTCTCCACGTCAATGAAACGAATGGACTGTCACGCTTCAAATAAACAAACAAACGTGACGTTAAACGGCGACGTTGCCGAGGCAGAGTGTTGGCGTTGACGACCGATTGCGGCGACCTCCGAGAACAAGGCCGTGATCGCCGGGACAAGGACGGCGACGAAGGAAGTGCTTACTCCAGCATGGCCCATTACTCAACCGTTTGCCTCCAACGCTTTCTCTTGGATTTCAGTTCCCTGGAAATGATGCACAACCTCAAAAGAATTTTTTGGAAAATCGCATTTCTGTATCTTTACGCGACGCTCGATGGCGTGCCGTGACACCTTCCTCACGTAATACATATATATTTATATAATTTACAATTATCATAACGTTTGGGAAATTACAGACGCCTGTGAAATGTGTGGCTCGGTGCTGCAGGTGCACAAGTGTGCCACAAAGTGTTATAACAAAAATGCCTAAATTGACATTTATAGTGAGACTGGAAACATAAAGGATTCATCTGTTTTCTGGGGGTCCTGCCTGCATGTGTGTGTGTGTGTCATGGGATGGCTGGAGGGGTCCTAAACTGGCCTCTCGACATCCTCTTTTGTTGCCCACCCACCCGGCCTAAGTTATGCCTGTCAGGGCCCCATGACAGACGGTGTGTGGGTTCGTTTGTGTGTGTGTGTGGGTGGGTGTGAAGGGGGAGGGGCCATGGGCAACTCCGCTTGGCGTGTGGAGGTCAGAGTTCATGCACATGGTCGTGGCCGTGTCCCGCTTGCACGCACGCACACACTCAAGCTGTTTCCTGCCTGCCTTTTCCACCTGTCCCCTGTCACATTCACTAAAACACGCGCACACACGGACACAAAAGCTAAAGTTCAGTGTCTGTTTAGCACGGAAACAAAGGCCAGTTTGTATTGCTCAATTATTATTCATAGAAAACATTTTTTTTTTAAATTCCATCAATAATTTTTTTTTTATGATCGGTTTGAATTCATGTGCGGCACTTTGTTTCAGCCAGCTGTGGCAGTTTTTAAAGATCTATCAATAAAGGTGAGTTGATTCTGCCTTGGCCCGTTTCAGACATTTCACATATAAGGATAATTCAATGTGCTTCACAGAGTGAAAAGTACATTAATAAGCAACTACAAATAAGAGTTAAAGAAATTTCAAAGCTAAGCAAAGAAAAAAACGCTATTTTTAAAATGATTAAATCTTAATTTATTAAGAAAGGACTTATTTGCATCTTTTATTCATTTTTTATTTTGAAAGTCCTATCAGCCAGCCCGACAGGAAACAATTCGGAGTCTCCACGTCAATGAAACGAATGGACTGTCACGCTTCAAATAAACAAACAAACGTGACGTTAAACGGCGACGTTGCCGAGGCAGAGTGTTGGCGTTGACGACCGATTGCGGCGACCTCCGAGAACAAGGCCGTGATCGCCGGGACAAGGACGGCGACGAAGGAAGTGCTTACTCCAGTTTCTTTTTAATTTAATGAGCAAAATTTCTCTGTTTTTTTTTTTTTAATTCATTTTTCAGTCACATATTGTCATTCCCCATTTTCATATTTTGGATCCATCCAGCTGACTAACTTGTCGCAAAGCCATTCAAATGAATTCAAGCGTTCACAATAAAATGACAAATAATAATCATCCCAATACTGCAAAACTTCAGTGAACCTCTGAGGCGTACCTCCGACTCCTTTCTCGCTACTTCATCCTGCTCGGGCCAGGGCTGGACACCCTCACTCTCGGGCGCACAAAACCGTCGGTTGCCAGGCAACAGCCGGAAAGATGAGTGTGTATGTGACCGCGTGCATGCGTGCGTGTGTGTGTGTGTGTGTGTGTGTGTGTGTGTGTGTTGATCATTAAGGATAAGCATGTCTGCTAGCTGCAGCATGCTAACACGTGGAAGTGCTTTTCACACATGCACACAAAATCACACCAGCACACGATACAAACATGCAAGCGCACACTAACACACACACACACACACACACACACACACACACACACACACACACACACACACACACACACACACACACACATACACACACACACACACACACACACACACACACACGCAAACACACAGACTTATGTCCACACACGCTGACATACTCATGCACACAAACACACGCTAACACAAAAATGCAAACACAACACAAAACAACAAAAACTCACTTAGATTCACGCACACAAACAAAAACACGCACACACACATGCACTAAAAACATATGCACATTTGCTTGTGGAAAAAGAAACACACAAAACCACACGCATGTACAAACATACATGCACGCGCACACACACATGCGCACACGATTTTAAGACTTCCTGTAAAAGTGTCCACAGGCGGGAGAGTTTTCAAGGTTTCGGATGCGAGACTATCCTCATGCACGCACACACGCACACACACAAACTGTCCCAGGAGTGTTTATTATATCCGATGCCGCGGCTGTTTCTCGCACCACATATTTCTGCGGCGATCGATCCCTCGGACTCCCGACAAGACAATAATGGCAGCGCCTTTCCGTCGCCATTATTACCGGCCTTCCCGGAGGAGGGCGGCAGGAATTAAAAAAAAAAAAAAAAAGGAGGAAAAGGAAGGAGAAAAGACAGAGCCGCGGCCGCTGCCATGCTCAAACTTGCCGACGACCACGGAAGCCAATGGCTGCTGACCGACAAGATGGCGGAGAAAAGCTTCAGATGGAGACGGGCAACGAGAAGGCCGGAAAGCATTCGGACGAATGCTTTATTGAGAGCATTTTGCTTTGTAATCCAACAGAAATAAATAAATCAATCAATAAAATGGAATTAAAATCAGGCCCCGGGAATTTTTTTGGAATGGATTATTTGCTGACATGCACTGCTGACACCGACATTCCATGCTACATAAATAACTAAATATAAATACGAATATTTTTATATTTTAACAAATATATATCTATTTTTTATCATTGTATTGTGGTCACTGTGCACTGTTGGTGCTTGTGTAATTATTTCTCTGAAAATAAACAGTCATATCGGATATGTGTCACTTGAAATACACATAGAAATAGACAAAAAAAATAATAATAATAATAGGAATCATGTAGTTGGCCTTCCAATGTTTACGTTTCTGATGGTGTCAACTTGTCAGCATGTGCGTCCGTTGATTGCTGACACCCTAAATTGTCTGCCAATTAACAGCGGCTCTCGTCTGACCCTTCCCGTCTGGCCTCACCTCGGCTTCCATCTCCCGCTCAGTTAATACCTCGTCAACCCCACCCCCCCACCCTCTTCGGCCTCGCTGTGTTTAAACGCCGCGCTGTCATCGCGGGCATGTGATCTTGCTCCGAAACCTTCATCGCCTGCTTAAATCACGCCAATAAATTATTGAGTGTATTTATTCAAACAGCATTAATTATAAAATAGCGGCAGGAGGGACGGTCGGGAGTTAAAGCAAGGTGGAGGTGGGGGCTACTTGTAAAAAGGGGGGAAAAAGGAGGAGGGGTGAATGGTGGTGTGTGTGTAGGGAGGGTGTGGAGGGGGGGTCTAGGAAATTGGTGAGGCTAGCGGAACAGAACCCCATCACACCCCCCCCCCCCAAATCTCCACACACCCTCCTTCCCAGCTCTGCTTTGTATTCCGCGGAGATGACAGGGGGAAGCTTTATTGCTCTGAGTCGGTATCGATCGGGGCCCTGCTGAAGGGGTAGTCAGAGCCGCGCGTGCCGGGCCCTTTTGCAGGCTCCTCCATTTCGCGCGCGCTTTGATTTCGCTCGTCTTGCAATCGCTGGCAACGTTTACGCTCGGACAGTTGGAAAAAGATTCACCCGCGGCAGAGCGGACAAATGCTTAGTGAGTCTGCTTCGCGCAAGTAGCCTAGCCTGCAGGCCTATGCGTACAACAGCGCACCAGTGATGGGACATTGGGATTTCCTAGGACTGGTGGGGACGTAATTGTTAGATTCAGACCTTTTTTGCACAGCTAGACTGTTCATTGTAACCGCCCCGCTTGCTTATTTGAATCCATGCAAACTCAGACAAGTTAAAAGCAAAATCTGGCAGACATTTTGCGAGGTTACGTTAGTCCCTGTGTGGGCGTGGCTCAGACAGGAAATGACGAAGGAATTATTTTGGATACACTCAACCTTATTTTGTACCTGTGTGATTGAAGGGCTCCACGGCCGCGTGTCGGTCTCGCTGACATCATTATGAAATAGTCTTCCGGTAGTTAACGTTAGCATGGTGAGCATTAAAAATAACAAGAACCAGCAGAAGCTCGTACACAACTAGAAATAATCGTGCGGAAAAAACGGAAACACTTTTTAGAGAAGAAAAGTGGGACTGGCCCCAGTACACCTGCCACCCGAAAGAGGACAAGTCGGATCATCAACGGATGGATGGACAAACACCTACAAGACATACGCATGGACACACACCTGTACCGCTGAGCCTAATCCGGCGAGAGCCAGCGCAACAAGGGAGGGATCAGGCACGCCAACGGGCACACGTTGCAAAATTGGGGAAGAGGAGACTGGTGGGTTTATGGGTGCAGGGGTCCCAAGTGTGGCCTCGGGATGGAGGAATG